TTGTTATTATGCAGAATAACACACCGCACATTACTTTGTCTCTGATCGACTTTTTGGTGAAAAATATCTTTCCAGACATAGACCATAGAACCTCAAAAATATTGAATATTCTTTACTTGGCATAATTGCAGTGTTTTGGGATCAGCTTCACCAGATGTGCAAGCCCAAATTGTTGAAAGGGGAGGTTTGCAATTTCAATATTTCTTTTCCAATACTGGGTTTTACTCCAGTCAGATGAAAATAAAGAAATTAGAAAATTTGAAAAAGGAAAATTGATTTTGTAATTATTACTGTAATTTCTACCAAACATTTCCCACCAATTATAAAAAAAGAAACGTCTGTGTCGTATAAACACAAGGGTTAAAGTGCCCAGAGGAATATTAATTTTAACATCTAGAATTCCATGACAGCTGGGCAGCTCCATTTGCTGAGGAAGATGGTGGTGTACCATTATCATCAAGCTGAATAGACCTTGTGGAGGCATTATTTTGTCAACTTTATATTTTTTGGTCATGCTAGCTACATATGGCTCCAGGGTAATGTCGGCCTGTCGGTCAGGCCGCCACTTTGATCCAGACTGACCAATATCTTAACAAGTATTGGATGGATTGCCATGAAATTTGATACAGAGACTTTGATGGTGTTGGACCGGACACCAAACCAAGCCCATTCGTTTGTACTGGAGACATAAATCTTTAAAAGGTGATCTACTTTCTGTTTTTAAAAACTGCTCAGTCATTTCCCAGTGTTTAGCAAATGTTACTCACAGGATCAAATATTGCATTTGTTGGGGACTATTTTCAGCTGTGGATTAATACATATTTTTGTGCTACAGTAGTTAGTATTTACAGAAGCAGGACAGTGTATGTGTGATTGAGTCAAAATAAACTCCAGTGTGTGTGTTCGTGGTAATGAAGAAACATGTCACCCAGTGCAGCGGTGTGGCTCATTTCTGTGTTTTTAATAGCATTTGGACAATAATGGAGCTCTATGGCACAGAGGATCAGGACTTGGCTGCATCCAGCACTTGTTAGTAGAATAAATTGGTGACGGTGTAGCATTTTCCTAATGAAACTTCACTCTCCCTTAAAGCCCAGGATTATGTGATAACCAGAAGGGGCTGGTGGTACTGAACGTGATTAAACAGAACTTGATTTGACATGAGAGTAAATGAAACGGTTCCTTTTGGATTCCATTATGCGCTCAGTGCAGGGGCAGAAGAAAATGCATTTATTTCCGGCGATGAAAACCGACTTTGCCTCGCTGTAACCGAGTTTCTCCAGCTAAGATATTTTTTTGGCCTAATTGCTGCCAGTGGCTAAATCCTATCCATTTGCATCGATCTCCTTTGAAGAGAGATGCAGATGAGCTTAACGAGTGTGCTAATTATGCTCGCTCGGTGTGGGGAGCCTGCTGTAACCGCAACTTTGTGTGTGTGTGTGTGTGTGTGTGTGTGTGCATATTTGAAATGTTATGCTCCTGCATGCCTGAGTGTTTGTTTTTGTGCGTGCATAAATACTGGGGACAAACATCCTGACATTAAGAAGAGAGAGTGACTTACTATGAATACCACTCAGTGGATTAATAACAAGTCTGAATGTGCTTTGATTGCTTTGTTTGGAGCTGCGCACATAGTCGGCTCCGTATCAGGAACAACCTGTCACGCTATCAACAAAAGAAGGGAAATTGAACTGTTTTGCTGAAAACATCCTCAGAACAATATTTTTCAGTGTTGACATGAGAATGGAGACAAATATTATTGTGTGTGTGTGTGTGTGTGTGTGTGTGTGTGTGTGTGTGTGTGTGTGTGTGTGTGTACCTGAGGCTGTTTTGGTCCAGTGCATGTGTGTGTGTGTGTGTGTGTGTGTGTGTGTGTGTGTGTGTGTGTGTGTGTGTGTGTGTGCACCGCTCCGCCAGCCAGTGTAATGGCAGTGACTGGTGTTGTCTCCCCAAGCACACAATAGCCTGGACAGCCAGACAAAATGTCACTCGACAGGCCCGTCTCTTCTATCTCTCTCAGCCTCCCTTCTCTCTCTCTCTCTCTCTCTCTCTCTCTCTCTCTCTCTCCTCTTTGCTGAAAGGGATGTAATGACATGGACGAGTGACAGAGCTGAAGCATGAAAAGCTGTGACACTGGGGCACAATATGTACATTTGTGACTAAACATCTCAGAGACATGAAAGCGCCCCAACAGATAGATAATTGGCTGCGGTTGCGGCTTCTCAAAAGCGAGCCGAAGACAGTGAAGGGCTGCAACCGTCAAAACACATCAAGGTTAATGGAGAAGCTCAGAAATGTTGGGTTCTTTTTTAAATCTTGGTATTGGCGGGGGGAGTGAGCACGCCACCCAGCAGGCAAAGCTTTTGGCACGCACAAAGGATATTTCATTGCTTACAGGACGGAGCTGTCCTGCTTTTGATTTTCTTGCCGTTTCCCTGCTGTATTTGGACTCTGAGACACGTGGAACTCACAGTGAGTGGAGAAGATGGAGGAAACTTCTGACATCTGCAAACAGCACGACCTTGTGAGATCCCCGTTCTTCAAAGCGTCATTCACACTGCTGCTTATTTCTTCAAATAATGACACATTTGAGGTCTCGCTGTGGTGTTTCCATCTGTCTTGTTACCTGCTAACTAAAAGCAAAGCAGGATCTTTGTTTTTATTTCCACAAGATGGGCTGTTTCCACTTTATTTGCCTTGCATTTAAATTCCCCTTGCAGAACAAAGATGCATCGCCATCAGATATACAATACTAACAATATAGCTAACAAGAATAGGAAATTGGATTTTCAAAACAACCCATGGCGGTACATTAAGTTGAAAGAAAAGTGAGATTCAAGATGTGCATACACTAAATGGGGAAATGGAAGGCAAGGAAGCGGCCCTTGTTTTTGCAGTGTGGAAGCAGCTTTCTTTGTCGTTGTCACACCGAGCTCCTGCAAAAAGGGTTGCACCAGGACGAAACAAAGCGCTAGGCAACAGCAGCTGTCATGTAAATGTATAGGTTGCATGACAAGCACAACCAGTTCCCATTTGTGGAAAAAGCTCTCCCCCGATATCCTCGTTTAGGGCGAGTAAATGTTTTTGCTTGTCGTGCTCTTGACTGTCTTCGAGGGAGACAAACGTTTTCTCGGCCGGCAGCTCGGTCGCGACAAGACAGGCCGGGGGCAAACAATCTGAGGAGATCAGACACCTAACATGCACATGCTTCTACTCAAACACGCCAAGGTTTGGCGGAGAGCAGAGCAAGTCGCCAGAGAAGAAGGGAGAGCACGGGCAGGCGGGCTGGCTGAAGTGAGATGGATGTCGGCTCTTGGAGGAACCTCACAGCGACACGGCTGCTGGGACTTAGAGATAATTTGCTGCTTGTCTGTGAAAACAAGATGTAAAGCCATACTTCATTGTTGTCCTTGCTGTCCCATCTGCCATGGGCCAGAATGAAAATGACCTGCCTTTATGTGTGTGTGTGTGTGTGTGTGTGTGTGTGTGTGTGTGTGCGGATTCTGTGCAGAGTAAGTGAGGCCACGCTGCAAATCATGCTAAATTGAAGTCCACGTGTGCCCGAGTACATACGGAGGCGGGCTTGTGTCAAAGCTCACGAGCTCGCGCACAAACACACCGCACGGGCTACAGGTCCAGCTCACAGTTGATGATGAAGGCTTGTGACTCATAAGGCTTATTTTTAATCAGCTACATGGTCATTAAAATGTGTTAATTGTATGCATTGTGTTAATGCTGTGTCAAAGTCAGCTAAGGACGAGGCTCGCCGAAAACTGCGGTTTAGCGACTCTCCAGTAATGCAGTGTGACCCTGTGTAATTTCAATATGATAATTGGAAGAAGTCCCCCTGCCCCCTCCATGCACACACACATAAACACGCACACACACACACTCCGTCTTTGGGTGAACTTTGGTAGATGAGAAGGCAATACAGCACCCCCTGTTGGTGGGCTCTCTGCAGGGATTGGTGCATTTTCATCAAAGGGTAACAACAGCATTAGTCCCCAACACCTCAAAAACACATCAAACATTAGGAGTAATTCACTAAAGCAGAGAAATTCACCAGCGTTTCCCAAATTGCAGTGACGGACAAATTGCCAAGCGCCTCACACTAATGCACCCGCCGCACCGCTGAGCCTATTATTCAGTGTTATGTGGCAATTTGGGTGCATACGGTGATGCTTAAAAAAAGGGCAGCACAAATAGAGCCCTTTCTAAAGCCAAGCAACCCCTCTGTGAAGAAAATTAATTATTCATACAAAAGCAGCACAATAGTATAATTCAGCCCGGCCATGAATAATGCATTTCAGATGTGAGGTCTTAAACAAAGCAGAGGTAAAAAAAAATAAAAATGACTTTGATTTTATTTTCCATTTGTGAAGTGGAGGGCAGTGTGTAGCCTATTTTCTGCTAAAGTGCTTTTTTTTTTACTTTGCCCTGGTTGCACAGTGTCTTCTAATAGTCCTACATTAGAGCTTTGAAAGTCACAACTGAACAGCCATAGGAGTATAAAACCCCTACACTCGCATATACATAGCCTGAGAACGGAGCCTAGAGGCATTACAATGCCTGCTGGAGTGTCATGTCAGTGTCAGATCTGTTTGGAGGAGTTATGAAATTTGCCCCGTGGGCTGAAACTGTAGCACGGCATTCGCCATTTTGGTTCGAGCCTCCAAACGGATTACGAGCGTGCTTGGCAGCCGGGAGCCCTGGGTTGAGTGCAGTTTCATCTCCCGGTGGCGCTGCCTTCACGGACTGAGTGGAATGTCGTAATTAGGGCAACGTATGGACGACTAAAAAAAGCTTATACTGTCGATGTGAATGTGATGTGTCATATTATTCTTTACCCATGTCAATTTGTAAATTATTTGTGCGTTCAGATACTACCTATTTATTTTATTTTTTGACCATGTACTATATTAGTTGTAAGGTTTTTTTGTTATCTATATTTAGCCTCACGAGGAAAGCTACTATCAGTACCGCTGGACTTTAAAAGTAGGAGTTCACAAAAAGACCGTGAAGGCAGCATCGCCGTCAGTCTTCCGCTTGTTGTCGGATACGCACACAGCCACTCAACATGAGCGCTTCTGTTATTGTCCGAAGGTTAGCCGCTCTGTCGGGGGCTTCAGCGGTGGCAGCCGGGGCATACGGGGCTCACGGTAGGGACTCTACATTAGCTTACACTCCGTACTCATGCACGAGTATCTCCACCGGGCCGGACGGTAAAACACAGTCAGGGAAGGCTGTCATGTCAACGCTTAACGCCAGCCTCCGTTCAAAAAGATGACAATTTAAGGTTGTCTTCTTTATCGACGCGACTGTATGACTCTAAAAGAAGAGCAAATATCTGCTGCTAATATTTAATAGGCTAATGTTTAAATCGGCAGCTAAACGAGACCCCTAGCAGCGTGTTATTGTAGTCAAATAAATTGTGTAATGAAGGTGACCCGCCTCCACTGAGTGTCATGGCCGAAGAATGCTTATTCAAGTCAGTAGTGCAAGTTGGTGGTATAATACACTGTCGCTGTGGCAGTGATGCTGTTTTTTGGTAACTTTTACAGCGGGTCTTTGAGACAGTATGCTTTCTCATATTAAGGCTGCACCGACCCTGCTATCTATATGGAGAGACAGTAATATAATTATACACTGCACTATGGCTGACAACAGGAGAGAATGCACAAACCCCCTGCTGTCAGTCACTTCTGCCAGTGTTCAAAAGTCTACATTGACACGAAGCTTCATGACATTAGGGGGTCTGTGATCCATAAAGAAATCATTATCAAAAGAGTGTGTGGGGAACTTAAGGGAACCTTAAAAGGTAGTCTGCTTATTGCCATTAAAGCTGCAGTAGGGAACTTTTATAAAAAATAACTTTTGGTTATATTTGCTGAAATTGTACAGTAGTACACGAGACAGATAATCTGTTCCTCTGGCTTGTTCTAGCACTCCTAATAGCATTTGCAAAAAAGCACCGGTGCTGGACAAAAACAACCAATCAGAGCCAAGAAACATGTAGGGATGCTTTGGGTAAATGCTTTAAGATAGTTGATTGTTCAGTCTCCTTCCCAGGGTCCCAAAGTGTCTGTATTTGACAGCCTGGTGATGAGACTCAACAATCAACTATCTTTCTCAGCTCTGATTGGTTGTTTTTTGTTCAGAATGTTAGAATATAGTGAACATTAAATATGTAATTTAACTGCATTATGTAATTTTTCTTCATATTTCTTGTTTTAGGTTTCAAAAACAGCGACCCTGATGACTACCAGAGAGTGGTATGTAAACATCACTGTGAATAGCAAGTTGGGCTATTAAAAGTTATTAAAAACTTTCCAGTTGATCGCTGCCGCAGTCTCCTAACACAGTTTCTACTTCAGTGATCTTGTCGGAGATCATGGTCTTGATTATGCAGTTTTAGATTAGTGCTCAATTCCAGAGTTTTTGCAGCAGTGTGTTTTGCTTGTGAGATTTTTTCTTTCTTCATACTTGTTGACTTCCTGATGTCAAAAGACAGGAAAAAGGTTTTTAATATCTCTGTAAGGATAAAGACACTATCCATTATTGTGCCTGATTGATGAAAATGGTAACCCATTCCGCGTTTACGCTACTGACTCATTAAATATCATTTGTAGTCCATCTGTACAGCGGTAGCCCTCATCATGCTGTACCAGAAAATCTTTGATACACTAAGTGAAGAATTTCCTGAAAGCTCTGTCTCTGTGTGTCTGCCTCTCCAGCTATTTGAAACCGCCAACAAGTACCATTTCTACCACAGCCTGGCCCTGCTGGGGGCTGCCCACTCTGGCAAACCTGCTGTGGTGAGTATGGGAGCCTAATACCGACTCTCAGGGCTGGATGCACTCGAGTGTTCTTTAAAATTGAACTAGTGTGATAGTGTCAGTGTGTCCTCTCTCAGAACAGCAGTATTCCTCTAGGCCATAATTACAGAGGAGGCTTTTTTTTTTTTTTTTTTTAAACAAACCAGTTGCTAACAGCTGGCAATGGGGCAGTGAAATTTTAGTTTCTGTGGTTTTATCACATTGTGACTAATAGAATTTCTAGCATATGCAAAACCTGCACTGCCAAGTATGTGCAGCGTAAAGGCTATTTAAAAATTCATTACCACCGAATATAAAATCAACAAACTGCATGAAAAGGAGACGCGTGCCAGATTAGGTGTGATCTACAGTATGTGTGGCCAAGCCAATCAGCATCTCTTGGATGTCACATCTACTAGGAGCTTTTGGAGAAGACAATTTGAGCTGGACTCCAACTAGGGACACTTCCACAGTAGCCAAGGGATGTGTGCAAAACAGCTCAGCTAATTGGAATTTGAAGAAAAATATGTATTCCCACATATTTTTGTTTAGGAGCATAATCAATGCATAGAAAGGATTTTGCAATTTGGTGTGAGTCTTATGTTTAGTGTATGTGTTTTAACAATAACAAATCAACTACCAGCTTCAACAGGCTGACTACACAGGACACACCTCCACCAGCTTTAGTAGTCTGTAACACCTGAACACCACCTGCTGCTTTTGAGATGGAGTGAAAACTAGTTAGCACGTCAAAATAGATTCTTCTGGCACTTTTTAACACTGTTAAATAACCTCCAGCTTGAAGTAAATAATAAAAAAAAACCCTGCTACCTTTGGAACATGGTTAAGGGTGTCATTAAAGGGGTATTTCAGCTCATTTGAGAGGGCTGTGGAGGCACCTTGGACTAAAATTGTTTGCTGTGCTCCAAACAGAACTGAATTTGGCATGTTATCAGAGATACAATGGTGGTTTGCAACCACAGCGGAACGAAGCATTTGGCCCTAATGGCAAAAATATTTGGACAGGGTTGTTCACCATCCCCCAATACACTGTCATCTGCAACTGTTTAACCATGTTATGTGACTGGTTACAGGCTGTGTATTTTCAGTTTGCATCCATAGAGTTATATTTAAATCTTGTTTTGAGAAATTTGTGTATGATCTGAAAGCATCTCAACACACAGTGTGCATGACACCCAATGTGTCTCCCTTATCTCCCCTCTACACAGGCTGGGACCCTCCTGATAGCAGGCATGGGGATGTTCTGTGGCTCTCTGTACCACCAGGCCCTGACAGGGGACCCTGGCCTACGCAAAGTGGCTCCCATGGGGGGCGTAGCTATGATCGTTGGCTGGCTGGCCATCATTCTCTGAACTGCAACAGCTCACAACCCGTCCACAGGGCCACCGTGTGACACTAAACTGTCAGACTGTTAATGGATGAACTGGAGAGAGTTGTGAGAGTTGGCCGAAGTGCTGAGTTATGCCACAAATCTAACCGCTCCCTGTCCTGGGTTGTGGGTGTCAGCAGAAGATAAGGTCACAACAGGATTATCGCTTTTCTACCATTGCTGTCTGTGTCAGACTGGTGCCCTTTGACTGTTTTTGTTTGAGTTGAAATGGAATAGCAAATTAATTCAGTATGTCACGCATGTACAATTTGTTGATCTGACATTTTCAATGGCATGTCAATTCTGTGCTGGGGCAGAAAATCACTAATGAGCTAATAGAAATTCCCAGCGCTATACATAGGTTTGTGACTGTGAATGATACAGTAGTATATCTTGTTTCTTTATTTTTACTATATTTTCCCCGACTGCAATAAATACAGTTTATATTTCTGTATATTTATACAGCGTAGGTATGGCAAATATAGTAAAAATAAAGAAAGAAACATGAAGGATTTAAAATCAAATAAATACTTTTTCTTACACATTGTTGGTTGCCTTATTAATGAATATCCATATTAGCACTTTCTCTTAAAGTCTCAAACCAATACACAAAAAGATTTTTTCTCACAAGCTACTCAATATGTAGGAATTCACTGCAGATAGACAGCTCCACTGCATTGACTTATATTATCATTTTAAATGGCCTAACAGTGTATAGAGCAGCTTAAGCAAAGGACACCAACAGACTGAATAAACTCATCAAGAAAGCCGAGTCCGTTGGCTTGAAGCTTGCCACCCTGGAGGAGGTGGTGGAGGAGAGGATGCTGGCAAAACTGCTGGCAATCATAGACAATCCCTCCCACCTCCTCAGCACAACACTGGACAAGCTAAAGAGCAGCTTCAGCAACAGACTCATTCATCCCCGCTGCAAGAAGGAACGATACAGGAGATGGTTCCTTCCGAGTGCAATAAGACTTTTTAATAATAATTGACTATTAACTCAGCTGCTATGACTTTATAATTTCCCTTCAGGAATAAATAAAGTATTTTCTATTCTATTCTAATAGGCCATGTACAACATTAAAATGCTACTTTCATGGTAATCCACTAATGTAATACATACATATATATATATATATCTAAGCCTGAAAGAGGCCATTCTGCATACTGGCTCTAGGGGTGGTAATGTCCACAGATAGCTGACTCGATAATTGCAAAAGTTTGTGTTCAGTGCTTCTTGGGAAATGGTAGCATGCTGACACTCTAAGTGAAATAAAAATAGTAAAAACAGTAAAAAAAAATACCTGCTAAATATGAGCATGTTAAAAGGTAGATTAAGTTTTACAATTTGGTATTACTGTGGAAGGATCTGCTGTGGATATCGGATTGTTTAAGTGTTGTATTTCTCTGATCATATAGATATGCAGTATGTTATATCCATTTTCGAAAGACTTCTTGTCTGTTCATTATTGTTCATTTACATTTCTTCCATTGTAGTCTCATATGAGGACAGAAGAAAGTTTGTACTACCTATACAGTACTCTGCAGACCACCTCCGGGACTGATTTGGGTACACGTATTTGTATCAATGCATCCTGGGTGGATTTACAGCTTTTGGAATATCGAAATGCAAGCCAATCACAATGGAGCCAGTGCCAGTTCGACAGGGGTCCTCGCTGTGTGGTTTTCAGTAAAGGGTGGATAAACCCATAGGATTCACTACCTATAGCAGCCAAAAGAAATCATTCCTCTTGCAGTGCTGAATGTCTTCACAGCCTCAAGCGTTTGATCCTTTAAGTGGCAGAACACAAAAGAGTTCATTACCCATGGCCTCCCCTTAGCCAGGGCCGTGTTCCAACCACTCCGCATTCAAATTCAAAGTGAAATCCATTGAAACACTAATTCGCCTTCCTGACTGTAGGCCCACGAATGGGGACCTTTAGAAAATAGCTGTATAAATCTCTGGGTCAATTTGCTGGGGTCTGCACATAAGCCGAGGCTCTGCTCAGAAGAGAATGCGCTATTGACTGAACACGTTGCCAATGAGCTCTTGATCACGACTCATAAAACCCTTATTAGAATTAAGTAGCTATTGGGAAGCATTCTGCTGCTCCGGGACCAAGCAATCACAGCACAGAAAAACTCCAACACCCAGTCACATATCGCTGACTCACAACTTTATGGGAGACACCTGACTGAAAGTTACAGGGTGTTCCGCACTGTTGGATGCATATTTGAAGTGGCATCATCAAATTTACTTGTTAAATTCTTGAGGGGGAAATCATGTGATTCTCTGAGAAGTTGTGAGCTGCAAATTTCAACCAGTTTCACACCTAGGAGTCTTATTTTAGCGGTATTTATTCTTCTCCTCTGTAGCTGACATTCAGATGTGTGGAAGCTGTTTCCTGCCAGCACGCACCTCTGTGTTAAAATCCAATTGGATCGCGATGTTCTGCTCTGGCAGACCACATTTAATGTGTGAGCACATGAGAGAGGGAGAAATGGAAAGTGAGATAAAGGGAGACACTTGTGTCTGCCTCAATGTCCTTTACCATAACTTTCAAGGCTATTCAGAGAAAGCCATTCAGTCCTCTCGCTATGTGTGTGTGAACAGTGCTTGTCTGTTCTTTACATTATTTTTTTTACATTAGATTTAATGTGACTTTGACGGTCAATTTCAAAGTGAGTAAAGATCTCTAAAAAGTCAGTCTAAATGAATAACAAATATAGCATACAAAGTACTTGTTTACAAGTATTCACCCAGTATTTCGTATTTTTCTACATAAATTTTTTCCATCTACCCTCACAAGCATGGCTGGATTCATCTATCGCAGGATTGGGGGCAAACATTGCAAGTGACCTTGCAAATGTAGTTTAACAAAATGATCCCAAACTTAAGGTACACTTGCTAGATTTGTTTTTGTGCTTTTGACCATATAATATGGTCTTCATATGCAAATAGGGTTATTGAATAAAATGTTAGGAAACTGTTACAGCTACTGAGCTCCCTTTTCAACAAACTCCACCCACTGATGAAGACTTGTGATATGGTTGAAAGCTCCAGAAAAAAAGCTTGGAAGAGCTGGATGCAGTAAACCTGGCCACTTTGATCGGGTGGTAATCCAGCCCCGCTCACAAGCCTTTCAGGGTCTGAGGCAGAGAAGCGTCTCCACAGCATGACACTGCCACCTTCATGCTTCACACTGGGAATGGTACATTTATTATGATGTGCCAAACATCGTGGTGTTTGGTCTGATGCCTAAAAATCTCAGTGCCAGTCTCATCATGCCATAAAAGCTTCTTCCAGCTGACTTCAGTCTCCCACAGGTCTTCTGGCAAACTGTAGCCCACATGTAATGTGTCGTGTGAGTTGTTTCCTTTAGAGCTGTCACTGGTCTATTTCTTGCATGCTCATTAAAGTTTTGAGGATGGCCATACTTACTACATTTTGGGAAATACTTTAATTTGCTTTCTGGCAGAGAGTTAGATAAGAAGACTGATTTTTTCATTATCATATCTGTCCATTACATATAGCTTAGCTTAGCATAAAGCCTAGAAATGGTTGTAAACAGCTAGCCGGGCTCTGTCAAATGTAACACAATCTGCCAACCAAAACCACTAAAGCTAACTAATATCTCCCATATATCTCATTGTTTCATCCGTGCAAAAAGTGAAGTTGTGACCTGAATGTAACAGAACCTTAATTAGTATCACTGGTAACACTTGTGTTCACCCTAATATTAATGTCAAAATGGCTGCTGTGAAAAAGGTCTATACTGAGTCAACAAAAGGTAGTGAAAATCTAGTTAAACTCCCTGACTACACAATGATGATTGCTATTTAACTAATACTGTGACCTCTAAAACCAGCAGGCATTTGGAGGCACAGGTGTTACTTAGAACATTAACTGTACGTAAGCTGTAACAGTGTGACAGTGAGCCAACCTAGCATGCATAGTACCAGGACCCTGAAACTAAAGCAGCTTTTCTTACTGTGACACATTTTCTTTTGTGAAAAAGGCCTATTGGCTGCACCTGTGATGATTGAGGTGTGTCCTATTAAAGTAGTCAGTGACAAGTGTGTAAAGAGCCATGTTAAATCCCCTTTGATTCACGGTTGTAAAACAATAAAAGGTGAAAACGTCTAAGTGGAGTGAATACTTTTTAGAGGCACCGTATGTTGCTGTTAAATCCACAGACCATAAAGCAGAATGGTCCGTAGAAGCAAACCCACTGGCAGAGAGCCTGCCTGGGGTTTTGCCTCTGCGTCAGTCTTTAATGTTGTGAGCATCAGAAAAAGGAGAAGCACTGATACTAACGGTAGATATTGTTAATTATACCTCCAGGGAATTCCCCTGCACTTCACAAGCTTTTCCTCTCCTTTATTTCTCTTACCCTGCAGACAGATTTAATTACATCAGCTTCTACTGTGGGGGGAACTGCTCCTTGTTCCATTGATTTCTTGGTCTAAGTCTGTTTTGGTCAAAGATGAAGAGAGTGGTTGTGTGAGAGTCATCAGTCATGAACAAGTAAGGTGATACAGAGCTTATAGGTGCTGATGGGCTGGCTGTGGAACAACGTGCTTCTCCAGATCCTCTCCTGAACACCTGCAATGAAACTCTCTGCCCAGGCCAGCTTACATGATTTCCCACAACTCCCTCCCAAGAACTTTTTGTCCAAGTAGAAAAACAGTGAATACAGACAAAATGGTTAATGATTTAAAATGAACAGTATTTATTTAATGCATTAAACGATATAATTGCATAATGATTTTTGTGGTTTCGTCCTCGGTGGAAATACAAAAGCAGCATGTGATCATCTTCCAGACACCATAGAAGAAGGCACCCACTCCCTCTTCTTGTCCTCAACATCACAGTCCTGAACCAGGGGTTCCTGTGTCTCAGAAGCCTTTACTTCCTCTCCCAGATGCTTGTCCAGATGCCCTGAGGTGCTGAGTTCAATATGTGCCTGGCCGGATGCAGCTGTCTGGATGCCCTGTGGAGAAGCCTCCTTCTTCTTCTTGGGTCCCCCTTCCAGCTCCTTGGAGGAAGCGACCTCTAGAGAAGCCCCCCTCTTCTCCAGAAGTTGATCTTCCAGCCCCTCGAGGTGCTGAGCTAAAGGTGATCCTGGCTGCAGCAGTCTGCAGTTCATCTTCCATATCTTGGATGGCAGAGATAACGCTTATCTGGCAGAGAAAGAGCTTTCATCATAGTCCATCAGGTGGAAGTCCTCGGAGCACTCATTTAACCTCTTGTAGATGCTTTTGACCATCAATCAGGCTATGACACCAAGCAGAATAATTTTAGACACAGATCTAAACTGCAGGCAGGGAGCTGCTGAGTTAGACAGCAGTTTGCCAATCTCAGCACTGGCAGCTTCGCTCTGGTTTCCCTGCTCCGGTTCCTCCAGGAGGAACTTTAGAGCAGTGTCCACCACCTTTGGTACCAGGGGCGCAGTGCTCTGTTCAAGCTCCAAGAGCTGTGCTGGCTTTGTGTCCCCTGCAGAGAGTTGGCGGCTGGTGATCTGAATGCCACCAAAGAGTC